GTTTGGGGTACCTACGGTGCTCCGTTTGTAAAAACGACGGTTCCAACCCCCCTAACCCTCCCCCTAAACCCCCCATCCCAATCCCACCCTTGCCCCCCCTCCCTACCCTGGCAGTACACTTAGGGGGGGTAAGAACCGTCGTTTTTACAAACGGAGCACCGTAGGTACCCCAAACGAACTGGTGTAAGCAATTGGTGTATAAGTAACTGGTGTCATTTTAGACGCTCCATATATATATATATATATATATATATATATATATATATATATATATATATATATATATATATATATATATATATATATATATATATATATATATATATATATATATATATATATATATATATATATATATATATATATATATATATATATATATATATATATATATATATAGTATAATTAAATTTATATTTTGAATATATTTGTCAAACTCACGAATCGAATACCCTTGATTCATATTTGTATTCGATAAAGATCCGAATATTTATTCAGATTCGTATTCGTATTAGGATTTGAAAAAATCGAATACGAATCACCTCATACGAATACGAATCACGAACCGAACTAAAAATATTCAATTCATTTACAACCCTATGCACAACTAGTGAACTTTAAAAATTACATAAATAGTTCTTCAAATCATGTTAGATTTCATGAATGATTTTTTAATTTTAAAAATTCCACGAATAATTTATATATTTTTAAATATATTTTTCATTTAAAATACATGTGAGAAACTTGTTCTTCTTTATATAATTGAATCATATTTAATATAGGTCTATTTCTAATAATAATAGTTAAACTTATTTTAATTACTCTGACTTTTTAGATAAAATAAGTTACTTTTTAGTTTATTTGTATTAAAAAAATATTAGTCCCCCTTAAAAATTTTATCAAATTTTAATTTTTTAAAATCAACCAGGTTGAATATTTTTACCAATATTTATATTAAAATAAATCTACAAAAAGTATGACCCGGTTGTAGGAAAAGGAGAAAATTTCTTGCATATATTTATAATGAAAAATGAAAAAAAAATGTATGGAGTAACCACAAAATTAATAGAAGGACCAACCATGCAACACTAACGTGACTTGAAGGACTATCTGTAAAAAATTTAAAGGCCGTGTTTGGAAAATGCTTTTTCGGATAGCTTTTGGCATATTTGACTGACTTTGGCTTTTTTTATTGAGCGAACAGCCAAAACCATTGTTTGGCTAATGACTTTTTCACTTGGCATTTTGATCCGAAAAGCCAAAATTTGAAATGCCAAGAGGGAGTAGCATTTGGAATTGGCTGTTAGAAAAATTAAAAAAATGTAGAACTAAAAGTCATTAGCCAAATTAAAATTAAAATTAGAACTAAAATTAAAAAAATGTAGAACTATCATAGAACTAAAAGTCTCCTAAATTCTCTCGCACAAATTTATTTTTTATTTTTATTTACTTAATTTTTTTTTAAATTTCTTGCCTATTTGAGTGGTAATGGAGGGGTGGGGGACAAATGGGGTACACCTTTGGTGTACCCCTAGCATTTTCCATTTTTATTTATTCACTTAAAAAAATGTAGAATACTTATATTAGTAGTAAACAAATAAGTTTTGGCGTATATGAACATTTATGAATCTTGTGTCCAAAAAAAGTGCCTACTTGCTTAGGCAGTTATTACGCCTTGTTTGTGAACAGCGTTTTCGACTGTCGTTAGTATTTTGGATTAATTTTAATGGGATAGATTAATTCTGAAAATTCTAATGCTAAGGGTAGCATTAGATATTTTTTTCTCAAATACTAACCTCTAACAATGATGTCAAACAAAATCTTAGTTTAGATTGGGACTATTATGAAATAACTTTTGAGCTTTTTGTTAAAATTATTTAACATCAAAGACAGTGTGGTCTAACAGCATTACTATGTTTCTCCAAAATGAGAGTTCATAAGTTCAACATCTGTACATGTAATACTTTTTGTGCTTCAATAAGTTGAGAATATATTAACAGAAGGCACTATTTCTCCCCGTGGTGGAGGGCAACGACTATGGGAGGTGGCGGTGGAAGCGGCATGTCCACCCTTCACATCTCTTCTCTCGATCTCGAAAACAATACCGCCATTAGCTAATATCTTACTCACATAAGGCACTATTTCTCCCCTGTTCTAAACTCTTGTTTCCAATTTTTTTTGAGAGGGTGTTAGACAATAGTAATAATTATCTCTATTATAGTAGTTTTTGAAGTTTAGTCATCTTCTGTTATTGATTCATAATTCTAATTACTCCCTCCGTCCAAGAATAAACTTCCTACTCTACCTTTTTTTTCGTCTGGAAAAAATGTTCCTACTCTACTTTTTCATACCCACTCTTCCAAAATTACCCTTCATTCTCCTTCCCATCTCCCCCTCTCTTTTCTACTCTCCGCACCGTCCGCAACCCCCTTCTCTATCTTTTCTTCTTTCCTACTTATCTATCTCTCTCTTCCCCCTCTCATTCTTTTTCTTTTCTCAAGATTTCCTTTCTTCTCCATAGCCAAATCTGGCTTATCTTCATCACACACTCTCACCCCCCCTCTCTCTCTCTTCCCCCTTCTTTTTCTGGTTTCTTCTCTTCCCTTTCTCGGCCAGATCTGGCAATTCAATATGCTATCTTCCCGCTCCACCTACTTCTTCTTCTCTTTCTTCTTCTTCTTCTTCTTCTTCTTCTTCTTC